TTAAAGCGTTAGTCTCTATTCTCTATACACGCGACCGAGACAGCAATGAATCGGGGTCGAGCGAACAGAATGATCGACAAGAGATAGATAAGATATAGCATAATAGTTATGTATTGTACACATACACAAAGTAATATTGTATGCGAACAATACAAAGGCGCCGACATGTGGATTGGAAAAAGTATAATGAAACACGAGGTTGAAACTAAAGTTAAAGAAGGGAAGAACAATTTGGTACAAAAAATACATTGTGAAAACTAGTTTAAAAAAAAATAGGTTGGGTAGCATTTGATTTCGAATTTAGTTTCTACATGTATTTGCTAATTTATATCGGGATGTGATATTCCCCCCTTCCATCCCTTACTAATATCCATGTTCTTCACTGCACGAGCCCATTGTCCATCATCGCCCCCCCTCTCTCTCCCCTTTCTCTCTTATCACATATCACATTCATATAGAAATGCAGATAATATATACAACATAATTACAATAATTACATGCAGTTCGTCGTATGATGTGTACCACTTCCCACAATCCGGTTGCGTGATCTGTGCTGAAGCTTCTGTCAATAATAAAAATTTTTTCTTTGTTTAAAATAACGGTCCCTGAGCATGAAACAAACGTACAGTTTGCAAGAAGAATCAAGTGTAGACGAACAAGGACAACATTATATTCCTCAAACAAGCAGTGAGGTGACAATACGATATCTTTGTCACTGTCTTCAACTGATGTGTATTCATTTTCACAATGGAACGAATGTGTACAATAAATGAGCTATTAAAACAATGGAAAAGCCATCTTAGCATACATACACACACAAACAGTGGATTCTTCAATCGGGAACTTTTTTACATTCCCACACTTTCTCATACGTTATTCGTTAGTAATATGCATTTGTCCTCCCCTATTCTAATCTCCCCAATTGTGTAAAATCTGCATCCAATCATTGGTTTATAACTACAGAGGTGAAAGTGGAATGTCTGCGTGAGAATTTTGTGGATACATTTAATAAATGCAAAACGGTGGCCGATAAATTGATGCAAGGGCTAAAGGATTAAGGGCTAATAAGGGTCTCAGGTCATCTACAGATGACAGGCCAAAGGTTGGGAGAACATATACAACGCCGGAACAAAAAAAAATCAATATCAAATAATAAATTAATTAATGAAATAAATCAACATGTAAATAATAAATGCGTGTCTCGCTTTTCGTTGTCACAAATCTGAACCCAATGCTTGATAGTGATGTCATTCATTAATTCAATTTACTACTTTGGAATTCAATTAAGTTAAAGTTTCTGTGTTGGAAGAGTCGGATGGAATTCTCATGTCGGATCGGAAATTGGGTTACAACATGAGTTGATAACTAACGTACCTATTAATCTGCTCGCAATCATTACAATTCATAAAAAGGACTCGGCCTTGGGAACCATTAATTTCGTGTAATTTGTCGCTTCTATCAGGAACACAAGCTAATACGTTTTTTTATATCAGATTTATTAATCTATAATGATTGGTAACACAGGTGGAAATTCGCAAGGTTGCCAAAATCGGATTAAACTGTGGTTGCATTTGTCAGAAGCCTCATCTAATTAGTACTAGTGTTGGTGTAAAGCTGCATGAATATTAATATCTGCATAAATATATTACATTAAACATCACGTGTTTTCGGTTCCAATAGGCAGAGTCTATGCATGATAATGAATTATAACCAACAAATCTAAAAGTATTTTTTCTAGTTCTTCTGGTATGATTTATCAGCAACGTCCGGTTGGATGGCATGTCCATTTAGTCCTCGTTGTTTTATTCAACGAGAAAAAAGAACGTAGCATGCCGAATGCTTATGTATCATCTATCCGTTCACCCTGCCTTTGAGTTTATATCAACGCACAATGATAATGACAGTAGTGTTACGATAGTCGCGAGCACTCGTTTACAATGGGGGCTATTCTTGATAACCTGTGCTCGCAACGGCTCAACATGCATTAAACATGCCGCTTGATTTTGTAAGGGCGTTCTGCACTTGCCTATTCCAGATGATCCGCATTGCAACAATCAGAGAATAACGCATGTTCACTATAGCAATATAGGTTGTATCTTTTCCTCAACTAGTTTAACATATGAGGTAAAGAATTCGAACGTACATTTATTACGATACCTGTCTGAGACTTGTAATAATTACGGGCGTCATATGCTAATGGGAGGAGGGGGCTCATTTTCCCCAATAAAGTTTGGCTTGATTCTAGCCCGCCTGATACTGCGTTGAGGGATCAACCAATAAAATGAATGTCTGAATTGCAATAGAGTTTGTATATATACACCATATTTATATATTGTACTTGGCTTACGTTGTTAGTACGACAGCAAATCTCTGCAATATTCGAAACAGAGTTTGGGAAGTAGAATGCCGCATTTGTACTTAATGGCCTGACTTGTGAAACGGCAAAACTCTAATATCAACCAATCACAAATCACATTTGGAGCGTGCTTTGCAGTAAGCGACATCATAATCACAACGCCACAAAAAGGTTTCAGAACAAATTGGCACATCACTGACGCTAAATCCATGTAATGTTTGGGTTTTGATTCTTATTATTCTAATTCTCCGATGCAGCAATAACCGTATGGATCCTCGCTTTCTTGTCTAGTCATTGTTGGAGATGCGAAGCGTGTCAACAAGTTTTGCCAATCTAATTCCTTTTAATCTTAGTTTGAGAAATTTACATATATCCGGTTTATCAATTTTATTTTCAGTCTAACCAAGATTTTGCTGTTCCGAATTCGAGAGCTTAAACTGGTTGTAGGAAGCGTTTATGTCCGACTACGACAATTGCTACTACAATTACTGCTACTACAGCAAAAACATGCTCGCACAATACTTGTGATCAGCTGGAAATTTTTCAAGTTTCCTAATCTTAGTATTAGTTGCACTATATATACATCAGAGATCATTTGGATGTCACGAGACTGTTAAATTTTATGGTATCACATTATCTGAAAATACATGTTACTTATGATCATATCATTTTCTTCTGCAGATTCAATCATCCAATTCCTCTGACAAAGTAATAAAAGCAAGACAACTTGGAATTCTGGGACAAATCTGATACTAATAAATAATCATATATGGGGGCAAAACCAGACAAAGTGAACATACATTTGATCATGTGAGCTAAAAGTGGAAACCAACCAATTTAGCTGATGACATTTTGGTGAGGCTTTGCTTTAATTTATGGCTGTGGCTCATGCACAAATCCAGACTATCTTTTAGTGACATTTTAGACTTATTTCTTTAAGCAAATGCAACTAGCATTCATGTATACAAGCAAGATGAATTTACATTCACCAAGCAAAAAACTTGCTGCAATGTATTTTCAACTTCTACAAAAGACTGTATCTAATCATAAACAAGACATTTGCACTATTACTATCAAAAAAAGTTTTTGTCCAATAAAGGTGGTTTGACAAAAGTCTGCATATAGACAAATTGGTATAATATAATTATATTATACCACTTAGTTTAGGTTAAACCCACGTAGCCAGTTTTAGCGGATTTAGCTCAATTTAGCCGTTAGATTATAGGTTTGTACCCTCAGTGTCGATGAGTTTGCATTTGTGTCGTCATTCGAGTGACGACGAGTTTACGATTGCATCGTCATTGCAGGAGTTGGCTTGCGGAGTTAGTTGGGAAAAAAAAATTCGTTATTTGGCTGAGTTTGCATTGCCGTTGTCCAAGCGACAACGAGTTTGCGATTGCATCGTCATTTCAGGAGCTGACTTGCGGAGTTAGCCTGCAGGCTCGCACATGAGCCTTGTTTCTACCTGCAACATCGAATTGAAAGAATATTTTTTATAATCTATAACCTAACAGTATAAACTAGAACCCAAATATACGTCCAAGACCGGTTAACTGAATATGGTTTGCAGTATATTCAAAATTTGAAAACACCAAATGTACACCGGATTCAGAGGATAATGAGTCTGAAAACAAAGAGACGATAAATGAACCGATGGAAATTGACTTTATTCAGAAAAAAGAGCCCGCGACCGATGTTGTGACTACTAGATGCAAAATTAAATGATTGGTAATTCCAGCAGCCACAGTGGATCCCGGTGCAAATTTTTCAATTATGTCTGAAGATATAGCCGAGCGGCTAAAATTAAATATTGACACAAGGGAAAAACATGAGCTTAGAGGTATTGCTACCGTCCCTACTGAATCGCTTGGAATTGTTCGCAATGTACCAATAAATTTTGCCCATAAATTCTGATTTTGCGATAGCTAAATATCCCAAGCCGATGCTAATTTTACCAACCGCTTTTTACCTTCTTCATAAGTGATAATGGATCTTTCCTCCTCTTCTTTATCTTCATCATCATCACTACTTGGAAGACATTCTAATATCAAAGATCAAATTTCATGTACATAACTATCGCGAGGGACTTTTATTCACAACATTCTATGTAAATGTCAAACAGATAACACGTAAATGACGCGAAAATAACCAGAAAATTTATTACACTGCCTAACGTCCACCGCGTTACAAATAACACGTAAATTGCATGCAGTCTTTTTAGCAATTGGTGTAACTTGGGGATATAAACGGTTCGGATTATTATATTCGGTTATCAGAATTTTGGGGATAGGGATATATCTGAGATGGGATATAACTGGCACAAAAAGGAACATTTGTTCTTAGAAGGCCATTTGTTTTTACAAAATTTGGAAATATAACCGGGGGTGGGATATAACTGGGTAGGGATATAAACGGGTACGAGTGTATAAGAAAAATTCAACCGCGACTACATCGCACCTTCATCGTATCTTCATTACATCTATATTATAAGGGGTTGTAATACATAGAGCAAAGTTAATTCGAATTAGCATTGCGTCCGAAACTGTATCTGAAAACAATCACAAAGTGGCCAGGTTACACGAATAACATCATTAGTATGTGCTAATTAAATGATCCGAATTTTTATACGTTCTCTTCCCGCCACTTAAACCATATAATAACCAGCATCACCATCGTCAGAAAACATTGCACCCATATCATCATTTTCTTCATCATTTCCTTCCTCATTATCACTCACACTATCTTCAGAGGGATCCGAGTTAAAACCTGAATAATCAGAGATGTTTGTCTGCGTAGCGGGATATGAAGTATCTGTAGATACACTTACCGGTAAAGATTCGCCTTTCTCACTCACCTCATCTTCCGAATTGCAGGAGGCGGTACACCGAATGACTAGAGGTATGAAATGGTGGGATAGAGAGGGTGGATGTAACACTTACCTTGGTATTTGATGAATTAAATGGCTCGGATATACGAGTGCGTGACATTTGGTCACGCGGTGGGTATCAGTATTAATGAAATACTTCTTAATTGCGTCGATTTGCATATCAGTTAACTTCGAAAGTTTATTTGCATTATAACCATCCCGAAAACGTCTTCGTACTTGATTCCTCTTTCTATCATCTGTAAGGTCTTTGAGCAATTCAGAAGTATATTTATTAAGATCGGATGTACTCATCTCTGGGGTAAGATTGTATTTTTTGACGATTTTTTGTTGCGATGGCTGACATTGTATCAGTTATAAGTTATACTCACTTTGTTAGGTTATATACTATGGAAAATATTCTTTCAATTCGAAATTAATTATCCGTTAAGATATTCTTATGTAACACTCGAGACGATTGATACGATTTTCCCTTATTGCGCACTCTGTACATTATTCACGTTTCTCTTTTTCCAATAATTTATTTTATTACGGTGTTTCGCTGCATGTTGTGCACACATACCGTATTTAGAAGCGGTTGGTGTGTCGCACTCTCCGCAAGGAAAGGTAATTGCATTTTCCATAAAGGGCACAACCTTCTTGCCGATAGCAGCCTTTTCCACAAACGCGTCCATTGATGGACAAGAATAGAATGCCATTACCATAACCGTAATTGGTTGCTTTCAATTTCTATATGAAATAATTATTTTTCGATTTGAATATTTCTATCGCTTTTATTATAATTCAATAAACCAACGCTTATATTAAATTGCAGATCAACAAAATGTCTTTTGGGGAAAGTAATGCACAAGCAGATTCTGACATGATTATTTGTCAGACGAAATGGAAGAAAACTCGGGATACAATAACGATTCTGGCGATGATTTGCCAAATCTAAATGTCGATAGGCGACAAGTTTGGCGAAAATATAAATATCTTAATCGTGCTGATTGCCCTAAGAGGGGATGCCTTTACGCTTCAGAAAAGGTCAACCAGAAGGATGGGTTATCCGACAAGAATATCCACATTGTTATAGATATTTCCATAATTTAATTGAATTCGAGAAATGGCATGAATTAATTCCTGGAGGGTTGACTAATAGTTTTACATAGTCAGTCTCGATAAGTCGGCCAACAGTAGCCCGCCTCAAATGGCCGACTTATCGAGAAGACCGACTTATCGAAAATCACGAGATCGAAGATATACGTTTAATTAAACCGTTTATTATTATTATTATTATTAATACATTAATATAATTACATCGCAAAATAATCTTGCAGACTAGCTTGTCTTAGAGAATCGACTTGTTTTCTTCTTATCTGACGTTGTAAATCTTTCATTCCTGACAACATAGAACTGCCTGCACTCACGTTATTCGATTGCTGTAAATAGTTCAGTAAATTTTGTATGATTTCTAACATTTTAATCGTATGATTCTAACGACATGTTTATTGCTTTAATCATATGATCTAATGACATGTCTAGTGCTTTAATCGTATGATCTAATGCATTGTACGATTCTAATGGCATGACATATTTATCGTATGATTATAGTGCCTTTGTTATAACCATTATATCACAATAATTTACTAACCTTCATTCTAGTTTGGGATCTTATTCAATCTGCGAAAAACATTATTGCTACTAATCAATTTTACCAATATCTAACACTAATAGGTTCCGCTCAAGATAATAAGAGATTTCGATTCAGCACCGATGAAGATAATGTAACCATTCCTGTTGATCAGCCTGATGTAGTTGCCAAACTTGACAGAGTTAGAAGACTTCTGAAGTATAATCAACTGGAAAATCAGCAGTCACAGTTAATAACTGACCTCACCAATCGGTTAACACAGATGCAGAGGCAGCTAGAAAATCAGAGAGACGAAATAGAAGATTTAAAAGGACAGTTACAGATAATGCGATTACGATTCGTGGTTTGTATGAAGCACAGTGCAAAGCAAATGAAATGCTTACCGAACAGTGGGATTTACGATATTGTAATCAGTACAAGCAGTAGTTGATATTGCACGACTAAAACGACAATCTTTATATGGGGATATTGAACTTTTGATCGGAGATACTAATAGATTTTCTTTAGAAAACTTAACAAACTGCTCATTAGAGACATGGCTAAGTAAACATAATCAAGTTGCTGTGAAGTTCTTGAACAGATGAGCGAGACTGTTTAGAAATGTATAACGAAATAAAGTCTAAAAGACGTGATAAACTATTAGAAGTAAAGTTTTTATTTCAATAAAAATATATATTTGACGCTTTCCATAATTGTATGTATGACAGAAGTGTCTGGAATATTCTATGACATGTTTCTATACTATATAAGGCGTGATCGACCACATCCATATTGCCTGACTGTATTTATTCAATAATAAAGTCTCGTGATTGATCATGATGTGTTAAAATCACTTTGACAATCACAGAGCTAGCAACAACCCCAACCATCATTCTTTTTATCAAAATGTCTTACGTTCGTAAACCAGGCAAGTTTCTGACAAAACTGAGAACGTTAGGTCAGCCTCGCTTTCCAAGAACGTTAGGTCAGCTTCGCTTTCCAAAAAAGCCAATAGAGGAGATCAGGTAGGTAGACATAGCACTCAAGTAAATCTTCAAACTGTGTCCAATATCACTTTTTTTATTGACTGTAAAAATGTGCAGTTTGCCCTTGCAAATCGGTTCGAACGTGTCTGTAGAGCGATATAACAAATTTATTGACCGTAAAGCGCCCCGCGGTTACAAATACCATTACGAAAACGGCGACGTTTTTATTATCGATATGTCTTCGTATGAACATTCCAGGATCGTTGTCTTCTTGATAAATTACTTTAATGTCTATAATGGTGGAACTCCAATGCGTAATCAGCCAATTCTAATTAGTGGTGACACTTGTAAGAAATTTACTTTTCTCCAATCATTCGTCCTATTATAAATTTTTAACAGACAGTGTTTTTTCTAGTCCATCCTAGTCCTATTAAAGATGAGGAGAGGATTGCACCAGACATTTGCATATCACCGAATGAACCTTACGTTCCAAACCCCACTGTTCCCCATCCGGGTTCTCCTCCAAGCAATTCGAATGTATTTTGAATTTGATAAATTAATATGTATTTATCGTTATATCAAATATTAATATGTGCAAATGTCATAAGTTTCTAACATCTTTCTAACATCTAGGGTAAGTCGCATGCCAGGATCGTGGTTGAGATTGCTCATTGCCAATCTACCGAGTCTTTGAAGTCGAAATGCAAACTATGGATGCGACAGGATTATGTCCGCTATGTGCTCGGAATCAAGTTCCATGAACCGAGGAAGATAAAGGATCCTCAAGGAAGGTATTATAGAGCAATGACAGCAAGGCTCTGGACACAAGGAGCACGGTGCCAAAAGGTAAAGCTTATAATTGATAATGAATATTTCTTATTCCTCTCAACCAATGTTTTCTTAAAATGTATTCTAGTGGGACTTTGGGAGTGTGCCAAAAAAGGCTCTTATTACGCCGGGTAAAGAAATTCCTACCACGGGATGTGACAGACCGGACATTCCAGAATTTGTGATCAATATTCCAGTTAGTGCAGTTTTTTATAATCCACCATCAGTTTCGCTGCCTGCTGGATTGAATATCGATCCTGCTGCTAATTTCACTATTGACCTCTTTGATGTTCAACAAGAAGTCCTAAATAGGCAAAGAAATTAGGTTTGTACGAACTTTTCAATACGTACCAAACAGTAATACCTTTCTTTTCCCACACAGCATAGAATAAGTTTCCTTATTTGCACAACATAGCACATTACAATATTACAATGTTTGCAGTAACGTATAAAACAAAAACATCGAGCACACCAAACTCTTAAAAATAGTTAAAGATAATAAAAAATTGTTTTTAGATAAATGATATGCGACTAAGAAACGAACCAATTAATAAAGAACCAAAAATAGTATCTTTAAAAGAAAATGAACCTGCTATTTTGAAAGTAGAATGCCGACAGTTTCTATGACGCGTTCGGCATTCGGGTGACGGTTTTAACGATTGCTCGAAGTGGAAATTTGCACAACACTGAAAATATTAATACAAGTGGGTCTCGATATAACGACACGCTCGGTTCCAATACAAATGGTCACTATATCGAGAATGTCCTTATATCG